CGGCTACGGGCGCGCGAGCCGAGAGGGGGCGGTGGGCCTTCCGAGCCGCTCGGCCGGAACCTGGGCCGCCGCAGTCAGGCCAACCAGGACCGCGCACAGCCTCTTTTGCTGGCTGAGGATGGGAGGAGGGGCGCAGGCCCGGTCAGGTTACTGTAAATATGCAAAAGCAGAGGCAGTGGGCGGGGTGGGGGTCTAGGTGCAGTAGAGGGCAGGGGGCACTCACATCCCCGGCGCGCCACTCGCGGGGCTCCCGTCTGCACGTGCCCCGGGCCTCTCCTGCTCGCCTAACCAGTCTGCGGAGAGCGCGCGCCCGCGCACTCGGCTCCCGCGTTCGCTTTGTTCCCGCCCACGCGAGACCCAATTTGACGGATCGGTTGGAGGCTCTCTGGCGGCCAATCTGCGTGGACGCCTTTACTTCCTCCCGCCCCCTCGGAGCCCCGCCTGGCTCGCCTTTTTCCCTGCCCACCTGGTCTCGGCCTGCGGCCCCGGGCAGCTCCTAGTTTCAGGTTTCTCGCGCGGCCGCCGTCTCCACTTTCCGTGGCTTGGAGGCAGCGTCTTCCCCTCGTGCTCCAGGCTGCACGCGGTTGAACGCTCCGGGATTCTTGCGGAGCTGAGGACGCCCAGGACGGTGCCGGGGGTGCAGCTGGCGCCGCCCTCCCTACCAATAGGCCGATTCCCGTGGTAGCATCCGGTAGGGAAATGGTCGTGCTTTCGGTGCCCGCCGAAGTCACTGTGATCCTGTTAGATATCGAAGGTACCACAACCCCGATTGATTTCGTGAAGGTGAGGGGCGGAAGGGAGCGGGGAAGTTATTTGTGCTTAAAAACAATACAAAAAATTTTAAAGTATTGCAGACCTTGCCCTGGAGACACGAGAGGTAGGAGAGGCGGCGTGGCTTTGCACCGCTGTGGGATGGAAGTAGAAAGGCTGCGGCGGGTTGCGGGCTTGCTTTTTCTCATGGCACCATGTCACCCTCCCCCGTCCCTGTTTTTGGCTAGATGCTGATGGGTGGGAAGGCATAGAGGTGGTGGTGAAAAAGGGCAGAGGAGGGAATGGTCCGCGGCTGCTGGGTGAGGCGAAGGGTGCGCCCCCCGCGGGGCAGGTGAGCGCCAGCTTTTTGCTCGGTTCCACCAGGGGAGGCGGCGGCCGCGACCTAGTGGTCCTTGCTCTTCTAGTCCCGCAAAATGGAAAGACTGAAGTGTTAGGATGACTTTTCAGGTATCCCTGGTATTCCAGATATCTTGTGCTTTGTCCTATATAATCTATTAGTTATTTTTATTAATATTAACCCAATACAATAATACTAACTTCTTACACATTAACTTATCAAAACCAATATTTCTAAAAAAGTATGTTCATCCAAAAGTATCTTCAGAAGAACATTAGTTCTGTGTGGATGTTTATAGTACTTATGCCAAAAAAAAAAAAAAAAAGGATTCCATTATTAAAAGCATTGCTAGGCAATGTTCTGTACATGTCAAACCAGTTTTATATAAAAAAATTATAGAGCCTTTGTATCATACACATCCATACACACATATGTATTTTTAGAGTCTTCAAGAGAGTAGCATTTCATAAATTTACTTGAACCAAAACCTTTAGTAGAGTAGTTCTCATGGCACCATCTCACCCTCCCCTGTCCCTGTTTTTGGTTAGATGCTGATGGGTGGGAACACCTTTTACATTCTTCTTGAACCTCTGAGCATGGAGGTGGGAATTGGGGATTAGTCACAGTAGATGTATGAACTTGAAGCTATTTCCTGTGGAGTGATGAAAGGACACACAGTACTGTATACATGTGACTTGTATACTTGACTCATCCTCAAAACTGTGAGGTGTGTGCAACTATTTGCATTTTACCAATAGGAAACTAAGGCTCTGAAAAATTGAACAATATGCCTGGGATTTGAACCAGAATTGTCTGGCTCAAAATTCTTTTTCCATTAATTGCACTTGATCTCTAAAATGGGAACTGCAGTTCTTGTTCTGTCTTTGCTTGGTTGTTGTGTATGTTAAATGACACCTTTGATATGAGAGCGCTTTAAACAATATGAAGTACCATAAAAGCATATTGTAACAAATTTCACTTTGCATTACTATAATGAGTCTTACTTTATTTGAGGGTTTGGTTCTATAGTCTGTGTATATTATCTACAATTGTCCTTGAGATACCCTTAGGGAAGTCAGTCCTCTTTGGAGGCTGATTTCCAACTTTCAGTAAGTCATATGTAGACATTTTCCCTTTAGGGTTGAAATAATCCCTGCTTCTTCCCTTGAGCACCAGAAAAGTAGTTGGTTTATGATTAGATGATGTAAATGAAAAATATTTTGTGTCAAACAGTCTCACACTGTAAGAGAGACTGAGGAAATGAGACTCCCAGGGAACAGAACACCCTCGTTTAGTGGAATGGCAGACAGATTGCCAGCACTGGTTATGGTTATGTTTTTCTCTCTTTCTCTGCTGAGCACTTGTAATTGATTAGCTTAACTATGTAAGATAACACTAACAGTCTAGAATCTCTTAGAGGATTCCATAGAATCCTCTCAGTGTGGTAAGTGGTGTTCTGTGGACAGTCTGTTGCTATAGCAGGGCACGCCTCAGCCCTTAGACTCCAGGCAACAGCACAGTGATTTTATGTACCACCTATTATGTCTTTTTCTCTGAATCATAGAATTGTCAAATTTCTAGAGCAGGAAGGGCTCCTAGCTCAGATTGGTGAGTGTTGCAACCACCTAATTAATTTCTTCCTGTTGATGATGCCTGTAGGAACATCCTTTGTAAAGATCGCCACAACTTGGGGGCAGAGCAGCAATAGAACCCAGATTTCCGTAGAACCCAGTGCATCTGAGTCTTCAGAGCCACCAGCCCTCTCCCTCACTGTAGGACTTGTGCCCGTGGAGTTTGTTTTCAGATACTGACTCTGATCCTCTACAGTGGCGATCTCCCAACTTTTTTTGGTCTTGTACACCATCAACATAATTGGATCAGGCACTACCAGTAGAATTTATAAATTGTGTACACATATTGTACTATTACTAAGTTATAAAATAAATTGGAATTTAAAAATGAGATTAATAAATATAGATAAATGTTATATTCTCTTCCCTTACCCCATTGATTGATTTGCATGCCCTTGAGGTATATGCGCCCCATGGAGCCACCTCTTTGAATGTGGTGATGTAATACTCATTTTCTGACTTTGTGCATTGCATTATTCTAATGTTTTTAGTCTGTATGCTATGCAGTAACACCATCATCAGTCCCTGTGGTTATCCTGTCAGGAACCTTCAACTACTGTTTGAGTTCTGGGAAAATGATCTGTTGTTCTGGAAAATGGGCTATAATTTGTTGGTTTTCCTGTTGCTACATGTTGAATTGGTACATGTAACAACAGTTGCAGTAGTTAGTCACTGAGAATACCAGGTTAGCAAATAAGGAACTATTGCCCCTAGCGTTAGGTTCCTGTGAACCTCTGGTCACAACATTTTCATCACCTGATCAATACATAACCTTGTAGGTGTTTCTGTTTGCCTTGTTTAGTATATATTCTTGATTCACTACCATTGAGCTCATGGCCAGTGGCACTGTAACTCATGCTTTAACAAAGCTTGTCTAACATATACTTTCTACACAAGGCACATCAAAGCTTTCTTGCACTTTGGGACACTAGACAGTACTTGGCCAATTTTAAACTGCAAAATCATCAACAAAAGGCACAAAATATGAAAAATGTGGCACTAAATAGACTCTGAAAAGGACATATTTGAAGTATGAGAGGTGGCCCAGTCAGAGTGGCTCAGTGGTTGAGCATCGACCTGTGATCCAGATCGTTGTTCCATTCCCAGTGGGCACATGCCTGGGTTGCGGGCTGGATCCCCAGTAGGGGGTGTGCAGGAGGCAGCCAATCAATGACTCTCTCATCATTGATGTTTCTATTTCTCTCCCTCTCCCTTCCTCTCTCTGAAATCAATAACATATAAAAAAATAAGATAAAATGTGAGAGGTGAAATAAGGCAAAGCATCACTGTATGCTCCTGAAATGACCGCTCGGAGTTCGGTGAATGTTCCTTCTGATTTTTTTTCCCTATGAAAGAAATTTAATCAGATTGACTCCAAAATAGGCATCAAGTTTAATATATAACCCCTACTTTTTAAATACATAGATTAGGCCTTTATCTTGCTCAGATAAACTTTTTAAGGATATTCTGTGTTTATCTCTGTAAAGTCCTACATTGTCTGATGGTTAAAATTTTCCATCCTTACAGCTCATCCCATGTCATCCTTTCACTGAAGAAAAAAAGATATTCTTTTTTTAGCGAGCGCTTATTTTTTAATAAAACTTTTGATTTTCACATTTATTAACTTATTTAATTTCCAAATTGGTTTGGTGGAGGTATAGGAGCCAGAAGAGGTGTGGAAGGCAACCCACCCTTATCCTGTTGCACCCGGTTCTCCATCACCTCTTTAAAGAATTGTGTGGAGCCCTGACCGGTGTGGCCCAGTTGGTTGTCGTCCCGTGCACCAAAAGGTGACCAGTTTGGTTCCTGGTCAGGGTATATGGCCAGGTTGCAGGTTTGGTCCCTGGACCGGCATGTATGGGAAGCAACCAGTCGATGTTTCTCTCGCACATTGATGTGTGTGTCTCTCTCTCCCCCTCCCTTTCTCTCTTTCTAAAAAATCAATGAAAACATTTTAAAAAGTAGATGAACAAAGTAATTTTAAAAGTCACGTGTTTTGTTTTTTTAAAGAATTGTGTGGAAAGTCAGTAGCCCTGTCCTCAGAGGCCCTCCTGGAACTTCTCTGAAAGTTCCCAGGGGACTTCATTTCAGAAACACGGATTTCTTTTCAAAGACAAGTCTTTAATGCAGAAAAGGGTTCTTTGTCTTCTAGGTATGTGCATGAGGGGTTAATTTCTCAACTTGATTTTCTTTTCAATGATTCATTATGTCACCTTCTAACAAGTTCCCTTTTCTTAAGTCTTGAAAGTGTGGTGCTGACACACTTTACTGAGTAAAGAGAGACTAAGACACACGGTTTGGAAACTCATCGTAATCCCAGCAGTGGGACCTGGGTAGGATTTTGGAGAGGAGCTCCTGGTCAGACCAATGTTTGGCATCTGGTATGCCCCAAGAGACTGGCAAACAACTCCTGGGCTGGGCCTTCTTAGTAAACTAAGTAGATCTCTTCAATAGGGATGAACTGTTCAAACTTAAAAAAAAAGAGAGAGATACCTGACTGATAACTGTTATCATAGTTCATTAATTTATTCTTAACCTTTACCTCTGCAAAATGGAGAAAATAATAGCATTTGTTTCATAGGGTTATTATGAGAATTGAAATTCGATCATTCAAGCCATTCATCAATCAATTCATTGGGTAAATTTGGAGTGGTTGGTAGCAGGAGCAGTGATGAGAATTGATTAGATTCTGGATGTATTTTGAAGGTAGGACTGATGGAATATGCTGTGGATTGACTGGACCTGGGCGTGTGAGAGAAAGGAGTCAAAGATGACTAAGGCATGTGGCCTGAGCACCTGGAAATACGGAACTGCTGCTTACTCAGATGGGGCGATGTGGGAGGAGTAGGATTAAGAAGTAGAAGCAGGAGTTTGGTCTCAGACATCCAAGTGGAGATTTGGGGTAGACAGAAAAAAATTGAGCTCAGGGAAGGAGGTCCAAGGTAAAGCTATGGATTTGAAGATCATTAGCAATAATAGATGATACTTAAAATCATGAGATCAGATGAGATCACTAAGGATTGCCTATAGAGAGGTGCCTGGAA